CCGGTCGAAAAAGTTTAGAAACATCTGATTTTGTTCATTTTTTGATGGACTTTGGAATGAGACGTCATTCGAATAGAACGGATAAAATTTGACGAAGTTATAGGCAAAAAATCACGGAGGGCGCGTTTTTGAAAACCGATACATCTAATTTTATAAATTCTATAACTCGGCGAAATCAAGTCCAAATGACCTTAAAATGTTTTCATAACCCCAGTTTTGATCATAGAATCCAAAAATAGAAAAAGATATATAGGTCAAAACTTTTCACTTGACAGCTTTTCTTGCTGGGCTGGTAGAACGTCTCTTAAATATTCTCTCTATTAGAAAATTTGTTATAATCACGTGAAGGGCTTTGTTCAAAGAATTCTTTAGGCAACAGAAATTGAACTCTAATTTGGTCTATAACAGACTCAAAAAACTTTGACTTAGTCTCTGAAAAGAACAAGTAATTGCTTCTTTTTTTGACTAATAAGAGAAACAAGTAACATACAGGACATTAAAAGTATAAGAAAGATACTAACTATGAGCAGCAACAATTACTGTGAAACGAAGGTTGATGACGAGCATGATGCAGGCGAAGGCGGCGAATCTAAATTATAAACAATATTAGAGAAAATATACGTCATTCATGTTCACTTACGCTATCTTAATATGACAAAAAGAATTGCTTACAAAAGTAAAACATAACGCAAAAACGCGTTTAAACACAAAGAGAAAAAAGGTTTAATACAAAAGTAAAAAGAAACAGGTAAGTATCTACGATTAATATTGCATAACTTGAAATAAAACATAGTAAGTTAAAAGAGAATATAAGTGATAATACATACTAACAACATCATCGTTTTCGACATTTATTGTGCCTAAATAAAAATAACAGTAGCGTTCAAAACGAACAAATTTTAGTATTAGACATAAACTACTTATCTGAAGGTATCTGCAGTGACTTGGCGTTTTTATGGGTGTTGATAATGAGAATACTGGTAGAAGATAGGCATGCACAGGGACGGGAATATCCCGAAATTCTCGTGTCGGGAATCCCGAACCCAAGAATCCCGAAAATCAGGAATTCCGACACGGAAATTTCGGGATATTCCCGTCCCGTTGCATGCCTAGACGGGGTTACAAGTTTCCCAAAACCCGGTTTTTGAGAGGTTTTTGCAAATGCATAGAAGATAAACACAAAAACGGGCTGTTCTTAGTACACTCATGCTAATTAATTCCATTAGGCATTCTCGATAAGTTGATGATATTTCATAGCTGGAAGACTCTATTGATAATTCCTCTCTAAACTTTGAATAAAGTTCGAAAAAACATACATTATCAAAAACCTTTCTCATTATTCTCACGACACAGCGGCAAGCGACAAAAAATTTAAAATTCGGAATCCTCAGTTTCGGGAATCCCGAACTCGGGTGAAGGTGAGGGTGATTCTGAATTTTAAGTTGAAAATGGAGAAATTGGTGGTGAGAAAAGTGATATAAAATGCGACAAACCACCAAATGATGCACCGAATCCAGAATATGGTCAAGCTGTTATTAATTTAACTGAATATATTTATAAACCTTTAACAGATGATAAACAGCGGAACACACGTGAAATAAATAGTTTTATTTCAACATTAGAATTATATGGGATTGTATTAAATCTGCTAATTTTATGTTGAAATTTCAAATACAGTTGAGCTTGGATTATATAATTCTTTACAAGTTTATTTGGCAGAAAAACGTACAAGACTAGCTCATCTATATTCAATAAAATATGATAAAATTGAAACGCAAATGAATTAAGGGATTTTAGCCACTCCACAAACATAAGTAAAAGAACAACAATTAACTGAGCAAGAAGAAGACAAAAAGTGTAATAAAGCTGTTGAAGCATACCAACTAAAGTTTCAACAATTAATTAATACTGAAGCACAGCAAATCATTGATTCGGTTTCCAAAGATTTGGAAGAAAAACCCTGGAAGTTTCTATATGTTGATAAGCTTTCCTCATAATCTTAAAGATAGAAATAATTTCTTAATGCATGTCAAAGTCCGCTTCTGTAATGCATTTTACTTTTCTTCGATAACTTTAACCTGAGCTTCTCCTACTACAAGAGTTTACCTCTCATGCAGTGTACAGGAAGTAACATAAATCGTAGCTCTGTGAATTTGCAACTGACATGGAAGTTCTACTACTAAAACTCTTGCTGCAAAAGATTTTGACTCCAAAAATCTCTGTAATAAGGAAATTTCAGTTTCTTAATGAGAATTTCACCGGTTACTGTATAGATACAAGAAGTTTTGGAGCCAAAAATCTTTTGACGAGAGTAAAAGTCTTTTTTAGAATTTTGACTCGGTATAGAAAAGATCGAGTGCTAGAGTGTTGCAACACTCTCGTAGAATTTTGAGTGAAATTCTTCTAAAAAACAGTTAAGCTCCGGCATTTATAAGACTATCAGATTTATTCTCATATTTCATGTTTCTTTTTCTTCTTTTTTATTATACCTAGGAACGGCAAACGTAGCATACGAATAGTGCAGAAAAATGGAAATCATTTTGTGACCATCAGAAAGATCATACTAATACACTTATAAAAGAGACAAGTACAAATCGTTTATGCTTCCCTCCTTTCTTCTCTATAATGAATAATAATGATGCTGAGGTCAACAGGACAAACATATCAGTTTCAACAAATATAGATAATAGCCCTGGCCGTGTTTAAGATGACAAGAAACAAATGTAAAAATGTTTCACAACAAAATCAACCGAAAAAAAATATTCAACTATTTCTTCTACAACCTCAAAATGAACAACAATTTACGTTACAAACACAGTATATGCAAGAGTTGCATTGTAGGCTAAAGCGAAACATGCATCAAAACCAAAACAAACAACAAGTCACCGCCATGCACACAGCAATCAAATACCAGTTTGGCATAAACCGGTGTTGTACAGAATATACAACAATACCCAAACGTTTCGAAGCAACATAATTCTTTCAATTAATATGGTCAGACTAAATCATGAATATACTGTACAAGTTAGATTTCACTTTTCTAAGAAAATGAACAGTACAATGGCTATGCCATTCGTTCAAGCACTTTCCACTGTACACTGTAAAGGAGAAAATTATTCATAGACTAAGCGTGGCGAATTTCAAAGAATTCATATATAAATTGCTCGAGCATTTTCTGTTTTATAGAAAACCGCAATTTCCAGTTTCTAGAAACTCCTCGAATTTCCAGTTTTCGTGCGAATTATTTATGGAAAATTCCTCTTCGAATTTCCAGTTCCTGGGAAATTCGCTGTTGAATTTCTATAAATAATTCCCAAGAATCTAGAAATTCCTTTTTGATTTGCTATAAACTTTATTGCAAATTTTCCAGGCTGGAAATTCCTTGGAGAGTCTGCACCGGGTGGTGGTGCGCCAGGGTTGCATTGAGGTTGATCTCACCCTGGTATACCAATCATTATTGAAGAACGTTTTGTAGCAGACATCAGTTCAAAAGCGCTTTTTGAGCTTTCTAAAAGGTGGTTGGAAAAACGAGGTCACACGTCAAAGCGTTTGGTAGGAATTGTTTGGTTTTTTCTTGTGTTATATTAGCCTGAAAAGTTTTCCTATTAATGAAAGTCAAGAGAAAAATTTGACTTTCTACGCTGTTTTAATCTAATATTAAAAGGTTTAGAGGTCACTGACAAAACATTATTGTGAGAACATATTTTATAGGAGAACGTATGTTCACAAGAGAGATTATATTTTATTACAATACACACACGTTCATCTACAACATGTTACTACTTTCTATGCTGGACGTGTCTGATGGTATGGGCGATTCCTGTTTGGAGAAAAAACAATCAAGCACAAGTAGAATGTTGGAATACACATTTTTATTCAAGCCCTACAGAGCACTTGTTTCTGTCGTTTCTCGTCACGCGCTCCAAATCGAGTCCAATGGCAGGCGCCATGCATGACTGTATCTTCCCCGATCCTGCCAAACGTCCGTTTTTCGATTGGCCAAGAACACAACAGATTCAGTTGAAAATGTCGAAATACTCGCTTGTGAAACCTGTAGTACTCGAGATCCTATCCTGTTCTGTGTAATGACGCGAATGATTTGCGCGAGGAAGAACAAAGGTTCGCTTGTTCAAGTACATCTTGTCTCCATGACACCATGGAACAAGCGATCGATCGATAATTTAACGTTTTGATCGATAACGCTTTGAGATAATTTCCACTTTGAAAACGCACGAGGAAAGATCGATTCGAGTGCCACACGCACTCTCAAAGTCGAATCTTGTTTTCTCGAACTGATCGATCTGTGTTTGTGTGCCGGAGAGTTGCTGCATTGTCCAATAGTCTTGCAATGGGGCCCATTGACAGGCATCAAGTCAGCCAGGCTCATGAAAGAGGTGGTCTCCATTCGATCGAGAGACAATGGGTTCGACACTTCCGGTTTAGTTTGACAGCGCGTCTGTTAGGAAGTGAATATGTTCACTCCCTAAGTTGAAGGTCATTCTGTTTTAACTGTTTCATCATGTATTTCGTTTACCTCTTTTCGTTCCCTTTTTATGTGTCATCATACATATGATCTCTGTCTCTTTGTCCATTTCATCAGACCAATGGTCTTGTACGCTCTTCTAGGTACTACTTCATCATTCATAGGATTTCAGTCTCTTTTCATTACGTCATAGGTTTCCAGATAATCCTAGCTTGGTGTGATTTAGAGTTGCATCATTTTGTTCATTTTAAATGTTTGATTTTTTGCTATAAATAACGATGTATTTTAGTAGGTTGCCATTTAGAATAATTTTTTGATATTTTATCGTATCAAGTGAAAATGTCATGCCATTATCATTTTTCTTTTTTTCAAAAAAAAACCTATTGTTATTTTAAACGGCAATTTTCACACATCAGAAAGAAAAAAAATTAGTATATTCTAATTGTATCTGGTTGTCTTTATAGTGTAGCTTACATTCTTGTATCATACTCGCGTTTGCCTCCGATCCTTGATCTAACACAGTTCGTTCCAGTATGTCGGTAAGCAGTTTAAAAAACATAAATAAGTATGAATCCGCCTTCGTTGCGTCTGTGATCGGTTCAAATAAACTATTTGACGTCAAGTAACTATTATACACGTCATTCTTATTCAGCACTTGCGTAGACACGTTGGTTTTCAACTCCATTTTCCATTAAATAATCCAAACTATCTTGCTTATATTCTAGCCTTTCTAAAAAAAAAATTGTATACTGCCAACCTTCAAAAGTTTAACAGCCTCAGTACAACTCAGTTTAAAACGATGAGAACAAAAAGAAAAACGCCGTAGCAAGTTTTAGTGCATTATCAACCAGATACAATTTCTTGTTATTACAGAGAACTACTATTTTAATTGCATTAGCTGTTTTAGCATGGAAACAGTTATTGGCTCTTTGGCTTTCTTCGGCTTTTCTCATTTCCACATCGCGAGAGGAGCATCTGAGGCAGCTTTTTTCGAAAGAGTGCTCGACAGTGCACGTTCCGACCTGACTCAGAGGCCAATCTGAACACGCTCTTCCAAATCGTCGTTCATCGAATGATCGATTAACCGGATTAAGAGGAGCTCGGTTGACGTCCCCCTCCATCAAAGACACCTGATCGTCGAAACTTGTCTCTCTGTCAATATCGCGTTTACTTCTGCTACTCTTCCCTCTCATGTGCATTTAGATCAGGCTAAGTAATGCCGTTATTGAATCGATAAAAACGCATCGCACTCTTGTTGTACTGAGAACCGACTTTACCGAATGGTTTTCACTCAGATCGATATTGACATTGTGCTCGATTCTATGTCTGATGTTCCCAAGCAAAAACGACCCAATTTTTTGGGTTATTTATCTAGATTCAGGTCCACGTGCATCTAGATGTACGTGGAGCTGAATCTAGATAAATAACCCAAAAAATTGGGTCGTTTTTGCTTGGGTT